CTGAATGCAGTCTCTTTGATAAAATGAGTGTGACTTTAGGGAGAGAAATTGTGTTTCAGTGGAAATCATCATGTCCAACTGTCACCCACAAACTGAATTAAATCCTAATTTTTCTAGTTTTCTACCAAGCTAATGTTTCATTTTTTTTCTTTCATCCTTTGACTTGGAATTATTGAGAAATACTGATGCCATGTCAACCATACAGAACTTAACTACTACTGTCTCTCCCTTTTTGGGATTTTAAGACCAATTGCTGGTCCTGGTTTTCCTGGCTAACTCCCTTAAGAGGACCTACAGTAGCCTTTTTTAATTCTCACTTTTGGGCTGTCTCCTCAAATATCTCATATCCTTCATTCAACAGAACATGCAGGCATTGACGGATTCCCTCCACAAACAGCTTCCAGCCACAGCTTGTACTTTTTGGGATGTCCAATTCCACCCTTTTCCACTTAATAACCCATACCCAGACCCACAGGCAGGGATAGCTCTATATCCCTAACCTGTCTGAAGTGGTTATAGAAAAAGAGACCTTGTCCCTGCTCCCCAGAACCTTGCCGGGTCATTAAGAATAAAATACTTTTAAAATGAGAAGGGGAATTGAAAGGATAAAACTGGTGCCATTTGCCAAGCAGACCTATGGCTGCCATTTTACTCTTCTGAGCTTATGTTCAGGACTGGAAATTACTGGAAAGCAAGAACAGAATGTGACTAACAACCGCACCCCCCCAAACCCCTCCCCAACCTTCACAACCACAGGCGAAAGAAACATTGAAGAAAACTGCAGGTTATGCAAAACCAAGTGAAACCTCCTGTGTTGCAACAGCCCTAACAGACCAGGGACCACACGGTCTCCCCTACTTTATAATCCAATGATAATCCAGTAAAAACTCAAAGCCCTTGCATTTCACTGCTGGGTATCTCTCCACACCATGCCCCTTTCTCCTCTTGGAATGTGAGTAACACTTTGCTCTCTACCTTTTCTTCATTTTTTGAATTCTTTCACAGCCCACATCACTGGCCACAACACATCTGACATCATTATTAGGATGTTATTGACTATATTCCCTATGCTGTACTTTACATCCCCATGACTATTGTTACTACTAATTGTTCATTTAAAAACAATATATAATCTTCTAAATTTTAAAAATATTTATTTCTAGGGATGCAAAGAGAGGGAGAAAGAGACAGAGAAACATCAACGTGTGGTTGCCTCTCACATGCCTGCAGCTTGGGCTGCAACCCAGACATACGCCCTGAGAATTGACCCAGCAACCCTTTGTTTCACAGACCAGCACTCAGTCCACTGAGCCATACCAGTCAGGGCTAATTTTTACCTCTTAATCTCTTCACCTTTTTCACCCACACTCCCATGTGGCAAACATCAAAATGTTATCTTTATTCTACTTATTCTATTCTGCTTGTTTACTTTGCACTGTTGCTTTTTTAAAAAGTTTTATTATTTTTAGAGAGTGGGGAAGAGAGGGAGAAAAACATTGATTGGTTGCCTGAGTTGCCTCTCACACACCCCCCAACTGGGTACCTGTCTTGCAAGCCAGGCATGTGTCCTGACTGGGAGCTGAATCAGCAACCTTGTGGTTCACAAGCCAGTGTTCAATCCAGATCCACACCAGCGGGGGCTGCACTGTTGCTTCTTAACTTTCGTCTTTTGCATGTTCTTGCCCCTCTGAGTATGGATCACATTTCACAGGCATTCATAGGTTTTATAACCTAAAAATAAAAAAGCTTTTCAAAAGGAGCAGCAACATGCATTTATTTTTTTAAAATATTATTTTTTTAGAGAGAGGGGAAGGGAGGGAGGGAAATATCAATGTGAGAAACATCAATTGGCTGCCTTTTCCATGACCCAAACCAGGGACCTCGCTCACAACCCAGGCATGTGCCCTGACCAGGAATCAAACTACAACCCTTCTGTTCGCAGATTGACTCTCAATCCACTGAGCCACACTAGCCAGGGCAACTTATATTTATTTGAAGATCAAAGAATAGCTATTCAGACCCACTGATTCAGGCAGAAGCCCAAACAGTATTCCAATTAGGAGACAAAGACAAAGGGTTTTTATGAGGAGGGTAAAGGGAACAATTACATTAATAGAAGGAAGGCATTTCTATTGTTGCAGATAAGCTAACATAGTGATGTTAATTCTAAACAATATTTTTAAATTTCAATCCTGTAGCCATCTTCCAGTAGTCATAAGATCTGCTTTTTTTTTAATTTTTGTGAACATTTTTTTGGAACATAGTGTTACTTTAGGCTCAGTTCAAAGGTTATTTTGCCCTGTTTTAACACTCTAAGGTTTGAGGCATGAGACATATAAGACAGCTTCTCTGACGTGGCAGCCCAGAGTCTATTTTAATGTGGCTCTATCTGTCATCTGTCTTATCTATCTAGACTGGTTAATGCTGCTAGGTCCTTACACTTTGCAGTGTCACCTGACCATCCTTTATGTTGGATGATTTAGTGTTTGTCCTTAAACTTCATAAAATGCCATTGGCTAGTTCTTTTCACAGTAATGATACAAGCTTTTGGAAATCATCTCCAGTCCTCAATATTATGCTATTATCTCCTCAAAGTAACTCCTTACTTTCTCATAAATAGATGTGTGTGGCTGAGATTTTCCTTTCAGCTCGTTAAATTTTCAAATTCCTAATTTCATTCTAGTATGTTCACACTATAATTCAGCACTATAGAGGACTATTCCATTTCTAAAGTTTATTTCATGTTCTCTCTACAACATTCCCCTATTACCTGCCATTGATGACAGTAGCTACCTATCTTGTATTGTGTGTTAAGCTGGAGTTTTAAGCTAGCAGCAGTGGGGATCTTCAAAGCTTTGAAAGGGGCAAATATGACCTACATTGATAAAGCACTATTCTTTCTACCAAATTTGATTGAGCTCTTCAACCTCTTACTCTCTTTTATATCTATGTAGCAAATTGTACCATGTACACATAAAAGTGGCTATTAGCAACTTTCACTGGCTCACAGCACTGTGCAGCGGTGGGCCAGGGTGAGTCACAGAAAGAAAGTGGCTCATTGTAATTAATTTTTTTTCCACTAGCAATTTTAAAGATGGCAATTTTGAAATTGTGAGGTTTATGTAAAAAAAAATATTCATTTGTCCTTGTGGGAAAAGCAATAAATTGTCATTTCTTGAGGACTGTTACTGTGAATTGTCCTTACTAATTTTGGATATCAAATTAGTGGTGGGAGATACTTTTGTCTAATGCTTTTTCTGGGTGAAATTAAAAGGATGGGAAACAAACCCTGGGTATAGTTCAGATCACAGGAAACAGAACTTGCACTTCTCATTCTGTGTTCTCCCTTCCTTCCTTATGGCAAGCACATTCTAATTTTACAATGTTAAAAAAACCAAAAAGTTATTCCCTTGCCTAGGGATAGTTTTATCATCTCCTGAATTTAGTTGATTTCCCCCTCAATATTTCATTATGAAAAACATCATATATACCAATAAGTTGAAATTTACAGTGAACACAGACACAGCACCTACATCTTTTGAATTTTTTATATTTAACTTATTACTACATGAAGGGTTTATGGTACCTGATAGGTGTGCAATAAGAACAAAAGGATTTTAAAGTGACGATCTAATTTTGTTTTCCCAATGGATAAATTTGATGATCTTATTTAAGTAGCCACTGGTTAATTTCATTACTTTGCTCAGATACTCACCAGTTTATCTAATATAAACAGAGAACAAATCTGTCATTCAATTAACTCTAAGCTTTAATGAACTAAAAAACATATTAACCATTTGCTTATATTTTCTAGGATATCATCATGTGCCTCTGAGGGCAAACTGGATTTTTGGAAGCATCTCCAAAAGCTCATTCATTCAAGTCTGAAAGACTGATATGATCACTGCAGAAAAACCAAACCAAACCAAAAAAAGGTTATAAATTAATGATTTCCCTGGGTGCTCCAGCACAGGCCTCACTGACATGTCAGGAAGTACTCTGAGTGTCAGTCTTACCAAGAATGCACCTTGTTATTCCCATATGCCATTTTGTCTCCTGGGAAAAGCCTTGAGACAACCACAAATATTCCGAAGAACTTAATATATGATAAAAGTGGTACCAGGAACCAGAAACAATGGGAGAAATACTGCATATACACAGTCATGGGAACACTGATTGACCACCTGAGAAAAATGAGATCCTTAATTTTCATGAGTACTTCTCAGATTTCAAGCATGAAGTCTCCTTCAGAAAAAAAGAAAATGCCACAATGCCTAAAAGTTAACTTAATATATTTTTATTTTCATATTTCCTATATTTCTACCAACATAAAAATAGGTATACACTTTATGCTTATAATTCTAACAATAAAAGCTAAAACATTTATCAATTAAAACAGAGCCAATAAAATGCAAATTCACCACTTTAAAATGTACTGAATATAACAAATGACGCTGTTTTGCTCAAATAAAATAAATCACGAGTATTTGGTTTAACAGCAAAAAGGTGCAGTTTCATATCTCATTCTGCTCTTAAACTGCTTCTGGAGGTTTTTAATTAATAAATATTTATTTATTGATTGGGAAAAGGAGGGAGAAAGAGAGGGAGAGAAACATCAACGTGAGATATATCAATCAGCTGCCTCTTGTACATGCCCTGACCATTGACTGAGGCCGCAACCCAGACACGTGCCCTGACCAGGAATCAAACCTAGGACCCTTCACTTTGCAGAACGACACCCAACCAACTGAGCCACACAGGTCAGGGCTGAATGCTTTTATTTTAATGATGATGATGAAAACACTTGTTTACGTAAGTATTTTGTTCAAACTGGTATTGAAAAATCTAAACCTTTTTCTCAGTTTTTTAAACATAATCAGAACAGAAAATTAAACAAACCTATCAAATGCCATTTTAAAAAGGTGTGAACTGACTTAACTGAAAAAATTAACTCCCCTTTATTGAAACTTGCATTAATCACTATTGAATACAACTAGCTTTACAATTTGGGAAAGAAACATTCTTTATTATTTATTTGCTATTATGCTTATTGCTAATAACAGTTGAGTTACTCTGTGTAGGTGCCTCACGACACAATGGTATTAACTGTTAGGTACAGATATCCTCTGAGATGAACATAAGATCCTGTCAGGTATATCAGGTGTACAGCAACAGCACACCCTCACTGTTCTCATTCTCATATACTTTATGTTCTGCGGTTTCAACAGTTTTGTTTTTTCTCAAATCAGATTTTAATTTTGAATACTTAACACTGTTGTTGATGTGCATTTCACTTTCTTCATGTTTGCTAAGAATATGTGATAAATGCTGCCAATCTTTGCACCCACTCTCATTCTTCAGCTGATTTTTTCCTTCCCCAAAGAGTTTGCAATATAGACAAAACACAGAATCTTTTGAGGTTGAATAAAGTAACCAGGACCTAGTGGTTTTTTCACCATTTGGAAGAATTCGTGTATAGTAAGTTTCTGAAAACTTCCTCCCTGTATTGTCTTTTGGAAAGTTAAAATTTCTTACTTGAGGTGGATCATTTTCAACAAGAATACTCCGTTGTTTAATATTCAAAATTCGTGGCCATGTGCCTGGATCTGCAGAAAGCACAATAGGTCGAGTGGAGTCCTCTGATTTTTTCCCTTCCAGTTGCTCTTGAAATGTATCAGCTATGGTAGACACAGAAGTAGGTAAATTCACATCCTGTCTGGTTCGTGATGCATCTGTGCTGCATTCTGCTGATACCTGTGACTCTGAAGTCTTTTCCTTTTTTTCTGGTAGTCCCTCTATTTTTTCCAAAAGTATATTAAATGATCCATGTAATTTTCTTTCATTTTCTTCTCTAACGGCATCCCTTTTTCTGTTTTCTGATGTGGACAATTTTTTTGATTTTGTTTCTACAATCTAGGAAGAGACAGATTATAATTTTATCTTAGAATTCTTAACACTAAAAATGTGTAAAAATGCCTAGTAAGCAATGAAAAAATGTTCATCATTAATCATCAAAGAAATACAAATCAAAACCACCACATTCCACTTCACATTCATTATGAAGGCTATAATGTCAAGACAGGTATTGGCAAAGATATGGAAAAAAGGAATCTTCCTAAGGTGATGGTGGGAATGTAAAATGGTGTAGATGCCTGGAAAACAGTTTGAAAATTCCTCAAAAGTTAGAGTTACCACATGACCCAGCAATGCCATAATGAAAACATACATCCACACAAAAACATATACAAAATATTCACAGTAATGTTATTCACAGGAGCCAAAAAGTAGATACAAGTGAAAAATCCATTATGGCAGATATATTAAAATGTGGTATTATCCACACTATGGAATATTATTTGACAATAAAAAGAAGTGAAACAAAGATACATGCTATAACATGGATGAACCTTGTCAACAGGATGATACAAGAAAGCCAGTAACAAAGTACTACACATAATTCTATCCAATAAAAAGACACATTATCTATTCTGAAGTCATTAAAATAAAAATGCAAAATAAAGACTGAAGAGACAAACCAACCTAGGCTAACCGCCTGAACCTGTTTATAAGACCCCCCTTTCTTTCACTTTCTGTTCACACAGAAGTGAGCTAAGAGCAGCCCTGCCTTGGCTCACCTCTTTTACTGTGTGACTTCTGATCCTCAGTAAGCCAACACAGCCCTGCCTAGGCTCTCTCTTGTTGTTTCTTCTGTCCTAAGCCCTTCCTTGTTTCAGTGTCCCCAGCTTTCATAAACATACTCTCAAAACAAAACGACAACAATCTGAAGAACATTGTTGATTTAATTTTGAAAGCAATGTGGCAGCAGGGAAGTAAAAAAAAAAAGCAAAAGTGACATGACCATATCTGTACTTTATATACACAGATCACTTTGATCGTAATATGGATTTCAAATTGTAAGGAAGACCAATGGTACAGGGAGAGTCAGGAAGCTGTGGTAATGCTGGCAAGAGGAGAGAGGCTACATCTAGGATGAGAGTAGAGATAGGATAGATTCCAGAGATATTTAGGAAGCAGAATGCAGATTAGTTGTAACTGAGTGACTCTGGGGGCTGAAGAGGAGGGAGGCACAGAGAATGATCCTAATATGGGTGAATCAGGTGACTCCATGGCATGATCTCAAAGAACTTCTGATCAAAAAGGATCATGGATGTGCAATATTTGTCATAAATAGTGACCCCACCATTTCCACCCAAGGTCAGGCAATCTGACTGGATGATGGGATCATTTACTAACAAGGGAAACAAATAAGGATAGCAGGTTTGGAGTTTCAGTTTTAGTTGGAATTTGAAGTACGTGTGAAACATTCAAATGGAGATTACAGATGGCCTGAAAGTTTAGAAAGGTGATCTTCAGATATTTTGGAAATCATCAATATATATTGATTGAAACTATGGGAGTGGAGAAGACTGAACTAGAAGAGCACACAGAAAAAGAAACAGAAAGCCAAGGATTGCACTGTTATTTTTACACAACCCAACTCAAGCTCCGGTCTTACCTCTTTCCTTCCTGAGTTTCCCATGTTATAATTCTCAACGGGTGGGATACTTCCCAGCTATATAACCGTGGGCAAGTCAGTTTCTTAATCACTGAAGCTTCAGTTTCCTCTCAATAAAATGAGGACATCAATTGAACTTAATTAGGAAAGACTTTAGATGACTAAACGTGAAAATACATGAAACTGTATCTGGCACCACAGTGAATTCACGTTAGCTGTCCTTTTTGGCATACACTCATACAAGGACATTCGTAATTATGTGACAATTACTGAACAAGGTTTAATAGCGAAAAACTGATGACAGAAAAGACAAAGGTGGTTTGATACACCTACTCCTTGATGCAGACTCGTGAATTTTCTGCTGTGTACTCTAGGCTGAAGGTTATGTCTTTCCCCAACCATGTTACTCAGGCTCGCTCTCCAGGGACACAAACCTGAGATTCCTTAAAATTCAAGTCAAAAATAACTTTGATGCTGTGCGACATTATTTGTCAAATGAACATTTTTACAGAGGATCTAGATGAAAACTGAAGCCAAATAAAAGGCAGGTAATAGGCACCAATTAATTAAACCCTCTAAAAAACCGGGTGGGGGGAAATCACTGGGAGGAAAGGTACCAAGATGAAGATAACTACATTTAACAGATAATTTCAGTCTCAGAAGTGTCCCAGTGAGATAATCACCTCACAAAGCTAGTTATTCTGAGGACTTCTGAATGGAATCAGATATAGATCCTGGCTTCAGGAGACTTATGACTTATTTAGGGGGATGAGGCACATATACAATCAAATGTTTCTATCATGCATTAATTAAGGTTTCCTTAGTCTTTAGGTCCTTAGTCTTAGTCCTTAGTCTTAAGTCTAAAAAAAACCTTAGTCTTTTTTAGAGAGAGGGGAAGAGAGGGAGAAAGAGAGGGGCAGAAACATTGATGTGTGAGAGAAACATTGATCAACTGCCTCTCATGTGTCCTCAGTGGGGAACCTGGCATGTGACCCATGCATGTGCCCTGACTGGGAATCAAACTGGTGACCTTTTGGTTTGCAGATCAGAGTTCAACCCAGTAAGCCACACCAGTGAGGCCCAATACACTTATTTTATAAAAGATAGGCACCCAGAACACGAAGGTTTCCGACATGAGGTCAAATCTAGCTGTGATTCTGGCTAAGATGTTTTCTCTGAACTTCTTTACCTTTAACATGTTGTACTGTTTTATTTAATCAAAACTGAGTATACACTTAGTAAAAAGCATCAACTAGTTAAACAACAAATAGTCCCCTTTCCCCCTTTCCCATAAGTTAACCACTTTGAACACATTTAGCTGATTCTTTTGGTGTTTATTTTCAAATATCAAAGTAATACGTCTGCAGCTCTATTTATTGTTTTTTTCCTCCTAATTTTAGGCACCATCAGTTGAATCCTCAATGAGGATGACAGGAAATTAGATCTCCTTCTTATAATGCTTACTGCACACTCACCTTCTAGCACCTAATTTATTCTTTGGTTACAAGACAGCAATGTTGGCACTACTGACATCTTGGGCCAGGTAATTCTGTTGTGGGGACTGTCCTGGCACTGCAAGATGTTTAACAGCATCCCTGGACCCTACCTACTAAATGCCACCAGCAACCCCCCGCAGTAATAATGTAAAATGTTTAAGATGCCCTGGCTGGTGTGGCTCAGTTGGTTGGGCATCGTCCTGCAAACTAAAAGGTCACTGGCTCATTTCTTGGTCAGAGCATTTCCAAGAGGCAACCAATCAATGCTTCTCTCACACTTATGTTCCTTTCTCCACCTTTCTCTCCTGCTTCTCCCCTCTCTAGAATCAATTAAAAAATGGTTAGGTCATTGCCAAATGTCCCTAGGGGGACAAAATCACTCTGGGTTAGATCATTGGGTAAGGTCAGGATTAAGTCTATCGATTTTATGACTGAAATTTCAGTTTTTCCTTAAGGTCCTTATAGATCATAAAGGTTTTCCAATGTGACAAGGCCTGTTACTAATCACTTTTAAATAAATACCAATGTGGTGGTGGTAGTGATGGTGGTGGTAGGAAGCACATTTTTAAAACTTCTGCATTATAGGGAAACATTCCTGCATTTGCCAACTATTTATGAAGTATTTTATATTACTGATACATCCATGGTAGGATGGACAAACCTTCTTTTGGGGATCAGAGTGGCGGGTAATAGAGTTATTCGAGAAAGTTTCTGAGGTTGCCGCTTATTTTGACTTGGCACATTTTCCCATTTTTATCTTCTCTGGTGTTTGTGTAGGAGTAAAACAAATTGATAATCTATGTGCAAGCCATATGCTCTTCACAGACTACGCATTTTGTCTGTCTGAAGTTTATGAGATCATTGCAAAAAACTCCTAAGTCTAATAAGCAGATACAGGTAAATGATCCATTAAAAAAAGACTTAAAATATTAAGACCTAACATACATGTTTATTACCATATCCAGTTCATTAGGTTATTTTTGCCATGTATTCTTTTAAGAAGATAAACCTATCATGTATTTTTTGCCAAGTTTAACTGTTCACTGTACTTCTCTATAAGCCCCATCCAACAGCTTTGTTAAATACCAAGGTGTGATATAAATAAAGAAAAAAATGAGGCACCGGCCAGGTGGCTCAGTTGGTTAGAGCACTGTCCTAGTAGGCTAAGGTTGAGGATTTGATCTCCACTCAGGACACATACAAGAAGCAACAAATGAATGCATAAATAAGTGGAAAAACAAATTGATGCTTCTAAAAAATAAATAAATAAATAATAATAATTTTTTTTTTAAAGAATAGACTATAAACTGACCTTCTTTGCAAAAATGTATAATCAACTATGGGTATCAATTGTTTCCTCTACTGTTAAATAAGCCTTGCACTTGAGTTACTTGTCCCTAAAAGCTAACCACTTAAATTCTTACCCAGTGAGGATGAACAATGTTCTTGATTTTACATTTATGATCCATCTTGAATTAATTTTCATGTATGAGATAAAACGGAATCAAGGCTCACTTATTTCCATATAAATAAAAAATTATCCAAGCACTACCAGTTAAAAATATCTTGCCTTTCCCATCAAAATGATTTGGTAACTTCTATTAAAATCAACTGATTATATAGATGTTATTCAATTTCTAGACTATCTATTATACTTGCTTATTTATTTTATATTCCACACTATCCTGATCACTGTAACTTTAATGTCTTTCTCCAACATTACTGAGGTATAATTGATAATTAAAAATTAAAAATATTTTTGGTGTCCAATGTAATGTTTTGAGGTTTCTAATGTGTTGAAGTCAGAAAGATGATAATTAAAAAAAAAAAAAGATTTTATTTATTTATTCCCAGAGAGGGGAAGGGAGGGAGAAAGAGAGAGAGAGACAGAAATATCATTATGTGGTTGCCTCTCATGTGCCCAAGGCCGGGTACCTAGCCTGCAACCCAGGCATACGCCCGAGACTGGGAATCAAACCAGCGACCCTCTGATTTGTAGGCCAGCACTCAATCTACTGAGCCACACCAGCCAGGGCCAGAAAGATGATAGTTTTTAAACTTTTACTTTAAAAATTAAAATTTTTAATTTTAATTTTACTATACAAAATTAACCTGAGATGGACCACAGACCTAAACATAAAAGCCAAAATGAAAATGCTTCTAGATAAAAAATGAAAAGATACAACACTGGCCAGAACATCTTCCCAGTATATTTATTTTATTTCTTTTTTAGAAAGAGGGGAAGAGAGGGAGAAAGAGAGGGGCAGAAACATTGATGTGCGAGAGAAACATTGATCAACTGCCTCTCATGTGTCCTCAGTGGGGAACCTGACATGTGACCCATGCATGTGCCCTGACTGGGAATCAAACTGGTGACCTTTTGGTTTGCAGATCAGAGTTCAACCCAGGAAGCCACACCAGTGAGGGCCCAATACACTTATTTTATAAAAGATAGGCACGCAGAACACACAAAGAATTTCTATAATTTGCCCTGGCTGGTGTGGCTCAGTGGACTGAGTGCCAGCCTGTGAACCAAAGGATAGCTGGTTCAATTCCCAGTCAGGGCACATGCCTGGGTTGTAGGCCAGGTCCCCAGTAGAGGGTGCTCAAGAGGCAACCACACATTGATGTTTCTCTCCTCTCCATCCCTTCCCCTCTCTAAAATAAATTAAAAAATTTTTTAAAAGACTTAAAAAAGGAATTTCTATAACTCAATAATAGAAAACCACCCAATTTAAAAAATGGCTGAAGACATCCAGACAAGATAGTGGTATAGGTAAATAAGGCTTTCCTTATTGCACAACCACCTCAAAATTACAACTATAGAACCACCACTGTTCAGAACTGCCAGAAATTGAGCTGAATCAAAGTCCTACAACTATGGAATTAAAGAAGAAACTACATCGAGACTGGTAATAAGGGCAGAGACAAGGAATGGGCTGGTCCCATACCCACATGTGGCAGAAAAGTCAGGATGGATATCTCAGGAGCAAGTGGTCCCAGTCTGACACTAGGATCCCCAGCCCAGGGTTCCAGTGCCAGGAAGGTAAATCCCCATAACTTCCGGCTATAAATCCATCAGGGATTGAGGCTGCGGAAGACAGAAACTGGAGGCTCTGGCAGTTTACTCTTAAATGGTCTGTGCACAGAGTCACTTAGACTCACTTGAACTCACTCCCTCTGAGTTCCAGCGTGGCTGCAGCAGGTTGAAAGGCATCAGAGACATAGAAGGAGAAAACGAATTGTCAGGGATCAGGGTGAGAACTGGAAACAGCTTTCTCCCAGACAGAAGTGCTGGCAGAAGCCATCATTCCTTTCTAAGCCCTCCTCCTGTGGGTTGATTTTTAAGTTTTCTAAGCTCAGTGGGTTGGGTGTTATCCTGCAAACTAAAAGGTCGCTGGTTCAATCTCTGGTCAGGGTACATGTCTGGGTTGTGGGCCAGGTCCCTGTTTGGGGACATAGTGAGAGGCAACCAGTCAACGTTTCTCTCCCTCTTTTTCTACCTCCCTTTCCCCTCTCTAAAATTAATAAATAATATATACATATATTTTAAAACAATCTTGCTTAGAACGAGCTATTTCAATATTCACTTGAGATGGGACAGCTCAATAACAGATTGACAAAAGTGAGACTAAATGAGATACTAAGATCAATTTGCTTAATATAAGGTAACAGGTAGAAACTATTGTATATCGGATCATCTAAAACTTATTAAAAGAATTACCTGTCTATATTCATTAACACAACTTTGGCAGCAGAATCTCATCTGCTGGCCATCAATCACCAGGACACTGTTTCCAGAACCTCTGCTGGGCAGGTACTCTCCACACTGTTCACAGCAATTCATTATCAAGCCATTAGCCAACCTGTACTTATTAAAGCAGTGGTTACTGCATAGTTTGTGTGTCACATTATTAACGCTGACTTCATGGCGAATCTAAAAGAAAAATGAGAACTTATCAAATAAATTAGCCACATTAGCATAGAAAGCAATGAGAGAACTAGTTTCTTCAACAGAAACAAAGTATTAACTTCTCAGAGGGAAAAAAGGCTAAAAAGCCCTTGTCCTTAGTCTTTCATTTTTATCTTTGATTTCTTTGTAGAATCATTCTTTGATTTTATAAAAGAAGAAAACAGATCCATAAAACAAAAAGCAATAAAATCAGTAATAACTTTCCCAGAGACATTTATGCATTCTAAAAAACACCCAGGTTTAGAACATTTTGATACCACCTGTTTAAAAGAAATGGATTGAGAATTCTTAGTATTATAAGCTTCACTGCCCTAAAAAATTTGTGGAAGGGACTAAGGGAATCATCATTTCATATTCAGACGGTGTCTATACATATATAAGACTAAGTTCTTTTTGCTTCGCTCAGCTCTATGGTAACTGAGATAAAGTTGTGTCCTGGATTTGCATGTCTCTGGGAGAGCCAACACCAAAATCAGTTAACAAGAACTGTGGTGAGGAAGCCTGCCTGCATGCCTCTTTCAGCAACTGGAGTGATGGCAATACCATTTAAGAAATGTAAAGTTATCAACATACTTTCAGTCCACATGTTCTGTATGTTCTTGCACCAGGATCAGGTGCTTCCTCCATGTCCTGAACAATACATTTTTGTTTAGCGTGTCTTGTAAAAACAAAATTCACCATATAACTATTGATCTGTGGACAAATACATCCAACTCCTTAAAAACAAATGTGTATTTTTCACATTCTGCAAATATGACATTTGTTTATAACATAGTTCTCACATATCCTTATTCCTTCCTTTACCTTCATTGTCTAGATTCAGGACATGTGCATTATGTATGTAGATGGCAGAGCATAGAATAGCACTTAAGAGTTAAAGTTATTCTAGATAATAACCTAAATTAGATAAAAATTCTGACCTCTGTTAGTTTACTACAGATTGTACATCTTGATTTGTTCAGAATTCTTTTTCTGAGACTCTGGTTGTCTTCGTATGGAGACACACAGTATGAACTAGAGAATTCTTGGAGAGGCTGGTTCGACTGCACTCGAGGAACAACATTAGCCCTTTTTGTAGGTGCATCTCTGAAACAAAGGAATAAATACAATTTAACAATGCTGTATTTTATTTTCAAATATAAAAAAAAAATGGACAGTCTTCATTTTCTCATAATTTAGTAACTAGGAATCAAATATAATTTTTTAATTTAACAAATACCACTTTTTGTTTTTATCACCAAGAATTCCTAAATAAAATGAGAAAGATGATGTGGAGATAAAAATATTTTGCATCACTAGAACCTTGCCACAGATTTTGATGACTTTTACAAACAATCAGAAAGGGTGATAGCAACTTGTTAGAACTTAGGTAGAAAATGGGGGAGGGACTGAAGTAGAGTCAGTGGCAGGGAATGGATGAATTTATTTCCATATTTACACTCCATTTTCCTGCCAAGAGTAAGGACAGTACAAATGAGCCCACAGCTCTAATAAACTCTAAGATAACTCAAGCTCAATAAACTTGAGAACACCTCTACCCATGAATTTATTCAGCTCTTCAATTATATTCAGAACACACATTTACACTGTCATTATCAAATCATGGAGCCATGTTGGAAAGCATAGCTTACTTTTTACACGTTATATTGCGTTTCTTTGGAGTACGCTTATGAGAGAAGGAGGAAAGGCAGGTGGTAGAACAAAAGAGGTGAGCTGATCCTTTCCGTTGATAAGCTGTCTGTCCTTTCTGTAAAGGATTTTTGCAGTGTGCACAAGTGATTTTAGCTGGTTTAGTAAGTTGCTGCTGGGCTGAAGGCTGGCAAATCTGTCTGGGAAGTGAGGCCACTGGTGCTAAAGAATCCACCCCTGGCTTTTTCTGATTACGTGGAAATGATGCTGACTGGGAGATCCAAGAATCTTAAAAATAAAACACACACACAAAAAGTCATGGAACAATTCAAAATTCACATCAGAAAAATGCTTAAAGTTTTCATTTTCTACAAGTCTAAGAGAACAGTGAGGCAGCCATTGAAGCAAGTGTTTACGGCCAGGGAGACTTGTTACCCAACCCCAGAGGAACTATTCACTTTGTATTTTAACTGAATGATAACTCTACTGTGCCAAGGATGTTAAACAGTGACCCTGGAATTGTGCAATGTGGTAGACATCATCTCTTAAGTCAGACCTGCCAGGTTTAAAAGGTATGTCCTGAGCTTACTAGATTGTGCAAGTAGTATATTAAACTGTGTCCGTACTACAGTAAAGCCTTATGTTTGATACCAGGGAACTTGCAAAGACTATTAGCCATTTTTCCTTCTCTAAGAACAAAGTATCAATACATTATAAAGCAAATAGGCAAATAACAAAAATAACTATAGAATGTTTTAAAAGATAACAATTTTCATAAGTTTCACCCCTAACCTTTTATTGTGAAAAATTCAAAGCATATAGAGAAGTTGAAAGAATTTTACAATGAACTCCCTCCTACATGCTCGCCAAATAGATTCTACCATGTTTTATAATTTTTTAAATTAAATTTTCTGAGGGTAACATTGGTCAGGCATACAAGTTTATAATACATTTGTATACTGCATTCTGTGCTTGCCACCCAAAATCTAGTCTCTTTCCGTCAACACATACTCGACACCCTTTAACCTCTTACCCTCCTCTTCACACTATTTTACTTTTTGCTTTATCACATCCTTTTATGTATTCATCCCTCTAAATAATCAATCCATCCTCTTTTATGTATTTCAAGTAATATGTAGACATCAATACATTTCTCTTCAAAGTACTCTGACATACATGTAATTTAGACATAACATTTTAAAGCAAGTCTTTCCACAAGTACTTCCTAGCATTCTAAAATATTATTTGACAGGTATTAATATATGTGGTGGATTACTCAGGAAAGATTTCACACAGCGAGACACCCCCTGTCCCCAAAATATATTACTGTGGCTTCAAAATGGTACAATGTTACACACAGGTAATAGCGCTTTTCAAGCTGTAATATGCATGAGATCACTTGGGAATCTTGTTTAAATAGAGATTCTAAATCAGTAGGTCTTGGGAGGGCCCTGAGATTCTGAATTTCTTGATGAAGCTTTGAAAAATGAGGCTCTTCTAAAAAATGGCTTTTGTCATCAGCATGAGGCCTTATGGTCCTCTCCACCTATTACAGCCCCAAAGGCTTCTAACAATACTTCTAACACTAATAATGCCATTTTCATTTCTAAATTCCCACCCACTGCTTCTAATATTCTTTGTCCTATTTTCAGATACCTTTTATCTTACAGGCAAAACCAAAATAGAACAAGTAACTAAGGAATTACTTCATTCCAAAGGATGACATGGTGGTTAGTATGGAGTACATGCCAATAAAGGTTTTTTTATTACCAAGTATAATCAGAAAGGAAGTTTCTTTATGGCTAAATTTTCCTTCTTCAATCTAAGTCATATCTTTAGAAAACAAAATCATTCTGAACCACTCCACAGAAAAAAGAAATTACAAATTTATCTATAATATAAACATAGGTTGCCCTGGCTGGGGAGCTCAGTTGGTTAGAGCTACTGATATGCCAAGGTTGTGGGTTAGATCTCTAGCCAGGGCACATACAAGAAGCAACAATGAATGTGTAATAATCAAGCAGAATGAAAAAATCGATGTTCCTCCCTTCCTCTAAAATAAATTTAAAAAATAAACAAAAGTTGCATCCTGGAATCAATCTTCTCTGAATATTATCTGGATAACGAACTAGATTTAATAAAAATAAAGATAGTCAACTATTATATGATTTCTCATTATCATTAGAATGGGAAAAGTAAGAACCTTGAACACAAAAACATTAGACTTTTTAATTTTATGGACTTATCCACACTTAAAGGGGCATATATATGTATAATTATGGAAAATGAGACATCAACTATACTGCTCAAGACACTAAGATCTTGAATGTTTTTTCACTTTAGCTTTCGTGCATACATAAATAAAGCAAGTATTTCCTTTGTTTATACTGCATTATTTAATTCAACCTAATTTCAAATTTCTTATTTCATCAAGTCTTTATTTTGTTTTTGGTATTAGTGTTCAGGTTCAACCTAAAGAACTCCCAAATTCCTCCATGCCTTATTCCTGGAATACATTTTAAGATGTCTAGTATGTTATTTAATACAAATCCCTCATTATATGCAAAGAATTAAGACCTACAAGTTAGGTGATTCACCCAAAGGTCCAATAAGTACTAGACCCACTATTTGACTTCTAGGTATTCTTCATTTCTTCCTGCACCAAAACTCTTCTGTCCAAACAACCTTTCAGTATTTCTTTAGTGTTGGGTCTGCTGGTGAAAATTTCTTTCAGTGCCTTGGTGGGGTTTATTTTATTTCAGCTGGTAAAGAATAACATCTACACATACAGTTTATAAATCCTAAATGCAGAGCTCAATGAAATTTTTTCCCACAATGACTGTATTTATATGACCACCACCGTGATAAACATACAGAAAATTTCCAATAGCCCAGAAACCTTCCTTAGGTATTTTCCCACACAAAAACTTTCCTAATTTCCCACAGGCCATCCTTATTCTGACTTCAAAATTTGGCTTTTATTTTAAATTTCAGAAACTCAACAATCTTTTTTTAAGAATTTATTTTTTATCATAGATAAAGAAGGGATGGAGAAACAGATGTGCCAGAGAAACATCAATTGCCTCTCCCACCTGGCCCGCAACCCAGGCATGTGCCCTGACTGGGAATCAAATCAGTGACCTTACACTTTGCAGCATGATGCCAATCCCACTGAGCCACACTAGTCAGGGCATCATCCTGACTCTAAGATTCATTCAACAATTGCACATAGTAGTTCATTCCTTTTAACTGATTGGCATATTCCAATGTGTAGCAAGTACTATTCGTCCATTCTACTATTGATGGACATTTGGAATGCATTCAATTTTTGACTGATTTCTGTACTTGTCAATTAATAGTTTCTTAGGTATTTATCGTACTTGGGATGTTTTTCTTCATCTTAGAATATTCACACTTGTACTTCTGCTTCATTTCTTTCCTCCTCTTTCTGTGACATCATGTCCTTTTCATCAAGTGTCATAGGTCTCTCACATGACTGTTTTTTCTTTAAATCATCACCTGTGCCCTAGCCAGTGTGGCTCAGTTGGTTGGAGGGTCGCCCAGTACTCTGAAAAGCCACTGGTTCAGTGTCTGGTCAGCTGTGTGTGGAGGCAACTAATCAATGTTTCTCTCACATCAATATTTCTCTCTCTACCTTCCTCTCTCTCACAATCAAAGTATATAATTTTGGTTGAGGATAAAAAAAATATTTAAAAAAATTAAATCCTCACCTGGGAATGTTTTTTTTTTTTAAAGACAACATTGATGCGTGGTTGCCTCTTGCGCATCCCCTACTGGGGACCTAGCCCACAACCTAGGCATGTGCCCTGGCTGGGAATCAAACTGGAAACCCTTTGGTTTGCAGGCCAGCACTCAACCCACTGAGCCACATGAGCCAGGGTCCGGGGGATATTTTTTATTGTTGATTTATAGAGAAACATCAATGTGAGAGAGACGCACTGATCAACTGCCTCCCATATACGCCCCAACCAGGGACTGAACCCGCAACCTTTGGGTGTATGGGACAATGTTTGAACCAATTGAGCCACCTGGTCAAGGCTCTCATATTCCTTTCTGTGTTTTCCACCCTTTAGCTATGATTCAGTCTGGATAATATTGTGATATAACTTCCAGTTCGCTCATGTTCTTTTCAGCTAAGTCCCATCATGAAGTTAAAACATAATTTCTTAAAAATCTGTGTCTGATAATTCAATTATCTGGATACCCTTGTGGGTTTACCTCTACTGTCTGCTTTTTAAAATATCGATATTCTGTTATATAGTCTTGTCTTCTCATATCCCTAGCTGTTTTTCATAGTTTTTATATGAAAAACTGAAGAAAAAAAATCGAGGCCCTGGCTTATATTAGTTAGCAATTGCAATCCAAAGGTTGGGGTGCGGGGGTGGGGTGTGTGTGTCCCTGTGAATCTGCTGAAAGTTCCTTTTATTCTATATATTTTAGAGATTATATTCATTTATTTTTAGAGAGAGGGGAAGGAAGAGAGAGAAACATTGATGTGTGAGAGAAATATTGACATGTGAGAGAAACATCACATCACAGCGGAGACTGGGCCTGCAACCCAAGTCATGTGCCCTAACAAGGAACAAACTTGTGGCCTTTCGTTTTGCGGGACAACACTTAGCTAACTGAACCACACTGGTCAGGGCTGCTCAAAGTTCCTTTCAGATTCTCAGCTGTCTCAGCAGCCATTTTTGAAAATAAACACATACCCACAAGAAAAGCAAGTCCATGTAACAGATTACTTTGCTGAGAATCCTCAGATCTTAGAACCCTACTTTTCACTTTATTTCTAGTTCTGTGATGCTTTCAATAGATATATTGTGTTTTCTTTCTCCTAATTATTCTCTCCAGGAGTGACAGGAATTACCTAGTCTGTCTATTAGCATTTTCATTATTATTTTAAAGTAGTACTTTGGAAAAAAAATATTTATTTATTTATTTTTAGAGAGGGGAAGAGAGGGAGAGAAAGGCCAATGTGTGGTTGCATTTCATACACCCGCTTCTGGGGACGTGACCTGCAACCCTACACTGGGAACTGAATCGGGGGACCCTTTGGTTCTCGGGCCAGCACTCAATCCACTGAGCCACACCAGGTAGGGCTCTAGCCTATTAATTAATATCAGAACTCCCTACAATCAGTAACATGGTCAGAAAAGTTTAGAATGCAATAAAAATATAACATAGATGCAAAAGCCATTTCCAAGGGGTTAGGTATAGTCCATGTTGAGTGTTTTACTGTTGTTATAAAAATGCAGTGAACAGAAAAC